GCCCTTGTCCAGCCGAGCCCACCATGGCCCCGCCTCCTCCGCGCCTCTGACCCCGCCCCTTCCACTCACCCATCAAGCCTCCCACACTCCCGGTCACTAACACGCGTCCAGAGCGGCGCCGCTTCATGTCTGGCAGGAAAGCCTGCAGCGTCCGCACGGTCCCGGCCAAGTTCACATCCAGCACGGAGTCCACAGCTCCCGCTGCGTGCGCCTCCAGAGGCCCGAGGATGCCCCGGCCTGCATTACACACTGCAAGGAGAGGTCCGAACTCGCCTGCCTCACACATCGCCCTCAGCCCCCGTCCCGTGGTGTTCCTGCCCCGGGGACATCCTGGTTTGGACACAGGGCGGGGAAGGCTCTTGCACAGGTGTTTGGGGAGGCTCACCCAGCACATCCACACGGCCCTCCGACACGCATGCCCGGGCAGCAGCTACAGAATCTGAGTCCGTCACATCCAGCTGCAATATCTGCAGGGAGTCGGGAGGGCATCCCCGGGCACGGGCAGCTTCCCACAGCGGACCCTGCGCCCCCAGGTCCCTCAGCGTGGCGTACACTGGAGGTTTGGAGAAAGGATGAAAATCTCAATTTCCTGCTTCCTTCCAGAGCCTCCTCCCTTCTCTCCACTCCTGTCCCCACATATACCTTTGAAGCTCCCAGATGGGTCTGACGCCAGACGTACAGCCAGGTGCAGGCCGATGCCGGAGGAGCAGCCGGTGATGAGCACCACGGTGCGCTCCATGCCGAGATGCCTGCGGAGAGGCGGGCAGAACCTGAGGTCAGGTCTCTGGTCTCTCAGGGCTGTATATCACCCACTTCGCCCCGCCCACCTGCCGGCCCCATCCCTTGTTGTGTCTGCCCTGTTATCTCAAGACTGAGCCCTCCCAGGTCCCTGCTCTACGTCAAAGCAGAGATGAGGCCACTGTTTGGAACAGGGAAAGGTCTTAGTTGCTGGTTGGAGGGAAGGTGGTGTGGGTTCCCGTGTGGGTTCCCATGTGGACACCGAGGCCCTGGGCCTCTCAGTCCGTCACCTCTGACCCACAGGGGAATTATACTTACCAAAGTGTGCGCTGAAGGTGTGCAAGTAAATGCTTTGGGAGGGCTGTCTCAGTTCAAAAGTCAGGGGTTACGAGAGGAGAATGGAGGAGAAGGGATTGTGGCATGACCATCCCCCCTGGGGGGGTGATTTCTCGCTTTCTGTCTCTATGTCTCTCTCTGTCTGGCGAGCGCACGCGCCTTACAGTGAAAATCTCTCCAAAAAAAAAAAAAATGTCAGGGGTTAGTATTAAACATGGGGAAACTGAGGCAAGTGGTGGGAAGTGGCCCTGCAGCAAGGGTTGGTGCCCTGAATCCTCCTAGGCATGGTGGCAGTGACCTTCTCATTCTGATGGACTCAGGCTGATTCACCAGTATACAAATTGACAGGAAAGAGTAAGTCAATCCCAAGTTTGGGATGGTGTGGTGGACAGATCATTTCTCTCCGTACCTGTGTTGGGGCTCAGAAATTGATACCCCAGGGGCCAGATACTGACTCCCACTTGGGCGATCATAGAGTCCCGAACCTGGTGGCTTGCTTTCTCTGTCTCCCTCTGTCTCTCTGTCTCTTTCTCTTTCTGGTGAGTGCTTGTGCCCTGTAGCAAATTTTAAAAATAATAATGATAAATAAAATAAATTTAAAAAGAAATTGATACTCCAAAGACTGGTACTTTGACATGCTGAGCGGTCTTAGAAGCAGAATCAAGGCCTCTGTAGTCCTATGTCTACCCCACCACAGTTTTAAGAAGAAGCTCCCTCTGGAATTTACTTAGCTGGCAAAATTTCTTTCCAACAGCAATGTAATTATCTTAAACCTCTTCCCTAGGAATCACATTGAAATGGAGCAGGGATACTGCCCCAGTAGAGCTGGGCCCTGTTTTCCCCTTCTGTTGAAAAATAAATGAATAAAATAGAGAGTTCCCATGTTGACCATTAATAAGAGCAGGGCCAGCAGGTGATGTGGTTAAGGTGTGGGACTCCCACATAGCTAACCACAGTTTGAGTCCTGACAGCTTGCTTTCTCACTTTCCCTTTCTCTCTGTCTTTCTCTGATCAAATTTTAAAAATGATAATAGTAATGAATAAAATTAACTAAAAAATTCTTTAAAAAATTCATAAGAGCAAAACTGAAAGTAAATTATCATTTTTTAAAAAGAGATTTTTGTGCATGTGCTCGCTCTCCAGCGAGAAAGAGACAGGAAGTGAGAAATTAACCCCCAGAGAGATGGCCACACAGCAATCCCTTCTCCTCATCTCCTCTTGGGATTTTGGGCCTGCACGCACATGCATCCAGCATGAGTTTTAAGCTGCTGAGTCCGGGACTTGAACCATGGTCAATTACATGGGAGTCCAGTGATGTAACCATTATGACACTTGCTGGTCCCTAGAAGTAAGTGATCTTTCTAAGCTGCTTAAAGTGTGAGGCATATATATATATATACACACACACACAGACATACATTTAAAAAAATTTGCTAGAGGGCACATGTGCTTGATGAGAGAGACAGAGAGAGAGAATGTGTTCCCCAGGGAGGATGGTCACACTATAAGCCCGTCTCCATTTTCCTCTTGCGATTTTTTTTTAATAATTATTTATTTAATTTTACTTATTCATTCATTTATTTTAATTTGACCAGAGAGAGATACACACACAGAGAGAGAGAGAGAGAGGCAAAGTGAGAAAGCAAGCCACCAGGTCTGGTACTCGAACTGTGGTCGGCCATGTGGGAGTGTCCAGCATCTTAACCACCACGCCACCTGCTGGTCCCCCTCTTGGGATTTTGTGGATGCACACCCGTGCCCAGTAAGTTTTTCAAGCCACTGGGGCCAGGAATCAAAACCTACAGTCAACAACGTGGGATCCAGCTGCCTTAATCACCAGGCCATGGACTGCCCCCCCACCATTTATATTTTAAAGACCAAAGTAAAGCTTTAGGCTCCAGGAACCAGCAGGTGGCGTAATGGCTACATTGCTGGGCTCCCATGTAGTTGACCATGGTTCGAG